ACGATTCCCACTGTTTCTCTTTATTAATGCAACACAGAACTTTCCTCAAGGAAGGCAAGAGGGCCTGAAGCCTGTTTCAACTCTAGTGCTGACTTACTCTTTCAAACATGCAGAGTCACCCCAGTGTGCCGGCAGACCTGCCACTGCCGTGTGGGAGATGCTTCCCACTGCAGGAAGGCGTGGCCCACCCACCCCCGGCCCTTGGGGGAGGGGCAGCATGCGCACCTGCAAGACAGGATGCTCTGGGGTTCTCATGAAGAGGCGGTCTGGGGGTGACCACGCCCTGAGCGCTGGAAGGTGCCCACACAGAACACCCCCAAGGCCAAGCCACGGAGGGTTGAGTTGAGTGACAGGACAAGCAGGCGAGAAGCTACCTGGCGAGGTCCTGCCCCGAGGCTGCAGAGGCGACGAGAGAGGGTTTTCCTCCAGACACCGAGGACGGGGCCAGCAGGTGGGGAGAGGCAGGGCGGATGGACGGAAGCCTGCAGCTGCGGCTTGTCATGGTGGACAGGGAAGGGGGCCGCTCATGACCATGACATGTGACCCACAGTTCAGGGGCGACTAGAGTCCAGACAAGACCTGGCCCTGTGAACTCACACCCCAAACACTATCTGTACACCAGAGCCAAGTTAAGCTGCCATCTGCAGTGCCAGCATCCCATGTGGGTGCTGGTCTGGGTCTCAGCTGCTCCACTTCCTATCCAGCTCCCTGCTGTGGCCTGGGAGGGCAGTGGAGGACGCCTCTGGCACTGGGGCACCTGCACCCACGTGGGAGACCCAGAAGAAGCTCTTGGCTTCGGCCTGGCCCAGCCCTCCCCATTGCAGCCATTTGGGGAATGAACCAGTAGATGGGAGATTTCTCCCTTTCTCTCTGGAAGTCTGACTTTAAAATAAGTCTTTTTAAAAAAGATCCACACACCTGTGTTCAGAGCAGCCCAATTCACCAGAGCCAAGAGGAGGAATCGACAGGAAACGCCGTGGATGGATTCCAGAAAGAAAAACGTGGTCTGTGCAAGGAGCATCAGCCTGAAGGGGGGGGTCCTGGTGCAGCCTCACGGGCGTGAAGGCAGCAGAAGCCCCCCAGCCCCCAGACACCACGTGACTGAAGCCCCCCAGCCCCCAGACACCACGTGACTGAAGCCCCCCAGCCCCCAGACACCACGTGGCTGAAGCCCTCCAGGCCCCAGACACCACGTGGCTGAAGCCCACCAGCCCCCAGACACCACGTGACTGAAGCCCCCCAGCCCTCAGACATCACGTGACTGAAGCCCTCCAGGCCCCAGACACCACGTGACTGAAGCCCCCCAGCCCCCAGACACCATGTGGCTGAAGCCCTCCAGCCCCCAAACACCACGTGGCTGAAGCCCCCCAGCCCCCAGACACCACGTGGCTGCACCCTCGGGCTGCTCCCGGTCCGGGGAGGCTGGGAGTGGGCAGTCACTTTGCTGGGGACAGAGTTTCTGAGAAGAGGAAATAGTGCTGCACATGTCCTCGAGGCCCGAGAACTGGACACTTAAAATGGGTGAGTTTCATGTGGACTTTGCCACAATGCTTTTTAAACGTTTTTTGAAAATATAAGTTTTTTGGGGGGGGGGCAGGCAGAGTGGACGTTGAGAGAGAGAGAGACAGAGAGAAAGGTCTTCCTTTTCCGTTGGTTCACTCGCCAGTGTCCTCCGCGGCCGGCGCACTGCAGCCAGCGCACCGCGCTGATCCGAAGCCAGGAGCCAGGTGCTTCTCCTGGTCTCCCATGGGGTGCAGGGCCCAAGCACTTGGGCCATCCTCCACTGCACTCCCGGGCCACAGCAGAGAGCTGGCCTGGAAGAGGGGCAACCGGGACAGAATCCGGCGCCCCCACCGGGACTAGAAAGAACCCAGTATGCCAATGCTGCAGGTGGAGGATTAGCCTAGTGAGCCGCGGCGCCGGCCAAAAATATAACTTTCTTAAACATGTACTTCATTTATTTGAAAGGCCAAGTTACAGAGACAGAGAGGGAGAGTTAGGTCTTCCATCCGCTAGGTCACTCCCCAGATGGCTGCAGCAGCCCAGGCTGAAGCCAGGAGCTTCATCCAGGTCTCCCATGCAGGTGCAGGGGCCCAAGCTCTTGGGCCATCTTCTACTGCTTTCCCAGGCCACAGCAGAGAGCTGGATCGGAAGAGGAGTGTTTGTATTGCCGGTTAGTTGACACTCATGGTAACAATATGCCACCAAGGCTGCATTCTGTGGTTTGCGGGTGCTGGGCTGGGTCTCACCCTTTCTCTTCACAAATGAGCTGCCAGAGACATTCCTGCTCAAGTCTGGCTGCGTGTGTCTTTCCTGGGCATAGACGTGGAAGTGTGCATTTACCCTGTGGGCACTCGGTTTTGCCAAGTAGTTGTGCCTCCCAAACACCCACCACGGCATAGGCCGCCCGGCGCGGTGAGAGCGCTCACAGTTGTGGTTCTCGGTGTTAATCCCGCGGCCAGGAGTGCGGCCGCCTGGCGCCGTATTTGCATTTCTGTGTGACTGCTGGTGCTGCACGTCGTCCGCGCACTCCCTGGCTGTGTGTCCTTGTTCGGCATCACTCATTGTCCCGTCGAGTTGCGGGATTCCCGTGCGCATTCCAGAAACGATCCGTGTGCCAGTTATAATGCACACGTAGTTCTTCCCTAACGTTGGTTTTTATGAACATATTTGTAAAAATTCTTGTCTGCATGGATTGCAAAAACGTGTCGCCCAGATCACATCTGTGGCTTCGCGCCTTTCCCGTGGGCTTCCTGGCGGGCCGCCTGTGTGTTGGGGGTTTTCTGCCCCTCTGGCGTGCCTCTTGGTTTCCCCAGCGGTGAGTTTTCTTTGAAGCTGCCAGATTCATGCCACGGTTTGAGTAGCTGCGGAACATTTGCAAGGAAGTTCAAGAGGCTGAGCTGTCTGGAGCAGCCTCGAGCTGCCGACGGCGAGCCTGGCCCACGGCCTCCACCGTGGCAGCCTCCACCGTAGTGCTGCCACGGTCAGGGAGCGCCAGTGCTGTCTTTCGTGTCTTCTGACTTTTGGTGCTGGTGTAATTTTGGAATTCAAAAGATTTGCAAACAGGGCACAGAGAGTTCCCAAGTGCCTTCACCCAGCTTGATCCCCTAATCCCAGTGTCTTAGGCAACCATTTTACAGTTGTCAAAACTAAGGAAGTAACAACAGGTGCGATAGTGGTAGCCAAGCTTTGGCCTCTCTCCGGATTCTGCCGGTTTTTGCCCTGATGTTGGGTTTTCTGTTCTGCATCCAACCCCAGGCACCTCCTGCAGCCACGACAGCTTCTCAGCCTTCCCTCCTCTCCGCGACCGTGACTCAATTTTTTTTATTTGACAGGCAGAGTTAGACAGTGAGAGAGAGACAGAGAGAGGGGTCTTCCTTCCATTGGTTCACCCCCCAAATGGCCACTACGGCCAGCGCACCGCGCTGACCCGACGGCAGGAGCCAGGTACTTGTCCTGGTCTCCCATGGGGTGCAGGGCCCAAGCACTTGGGCCATCCTCCACTGCACTCCCTGGCCACAGCAGAGAGCTGGCCTGGAAGAGGGGCAACCGGGACAAGAACTCGGAGCCCATATGGGAGCCGGCCCTGCAGGCAAAGGATTAACCAAGTGAGCCACGGCACTGGCCCCCCTTGACTCAATTTTTTTTTTTTTGAAAGGCAGAGTGGACAGTGAGAGAGAGACAGAGAGAGGGGTCTTCCTTCCATTGGTTCACCCCCCAAATGGCCGCTATGGCCGGCGCTGCGCTGATCCGAAGCCAGGAGCCAGGTGCCTCTCCTGGTCTCCCATGTGGGTGCAGGGCCCAAGGACTTAGGCCATCCTCCACTGCTTTCCCTGGCCACAGCAGAGAGCTGGACAGGAAGAGGGGCAACCAGGACAAGAACTCAGCGCCCATATGGGAGCCGGCCCTGCAGGCAGAGGATTAACCAAGTGAGCCACGGCCCCCCTTGACTCAATTTTTTTTTTTTTTTTGACAGGCAGAGTGGACAGTGAGAGAGAGAGACAGAGAGAAAGGTCTTCCTTTACCATTGGTTCACCCTCCAATGGCCGCCGCGGCCGGTGCGCTGCGGCTGGCACACCGCACTGATCCGAAGCCAGGAGCCAGGTACTTATCCTGGTCTCCCATGGGTGCAGGGCCCAAGCACTTGGGCCATCCTCCACTGCACTCCCGGGCTACAGCAGAGAGCCTGCCTGGAAGAGGGGCAACCGGGACAGAATCCGGCGCCCCGACCAGGACTAGAACCCGGTGTGCCAGTGCTGCAGGCGGAGGATTAGCCTAGTGAGCCACGGGGCCGGCCTCAATTTTTAATATGTCCTCACAGCTCACAACCATAAAGAACATCAATGAGTCCTAATATTTATTTTTTTAGGCTACTTGGGATTTTCTCCCAATGTGACCATGTCACGTATGAGGTAATAAAGAACCTCTTCCTCTCCTTTTGATTTTTGTAGACTTGTCTGTTGATTTGAAAGACAGAATTGCAGAGAGAAGGAGAGACAGAGATGTCTTCCACCCACTGGTTCACTCCTCAAATGGCCACAGTGGCCGGTGCCTGGCAGGAGGATGCCAGGAGCCCGGAGCTCCATCCGGGTCTCCCGTGTGGATGACAGGGGCCCCAGCACTTGGGCCGTCTTCCGCTGCTTTCCCAGGCGCATTAGCAGGGAGCCGGGTGGGAGGAGAGCAGAGGGTATTGGGGATGTGGTGTTACAAGCAGTGGCTGAACCCACTGCACCCCATCAGCCCCGCTTTTGCTTCTCCGTCTTGTCCTTTTCCATCGCCGGTGCCCAGTGAGAGTAGTGCTACAGAGAGGGAAGAGCGGGCGCTCTCGGGGTCCCCTGGGGGAACGGGGACTAACTCTGCTCACGTGTGTCACTGTTGCTCTTCTGGTGTTCAAACAGTCGAGTTCCCGGCCGGGACCCGCGTGGGCGTGGGCGTGTTGCTGGCTCTGACTCACCGATGGATTTTCCTGTCTATAGAAAGATACCGGCCCGTCACTGTCTCGTCCTCTCCAGTTCTCAGCTCAGCTGGCTTCCTCAGACGAGCGAGCACCGTGGCCTCTTCCCGTCTGCCCGGTAAGGCTGCTTTAATTTGTGCCTCAACCGTTCGGTGGAACTGACCGGGGAAGCCCGCCGAGCCTCGTCTGTCTTTGTGGGAAAGGGTTAAACTTTGGTTGATTTTTTTTTTTTTTGACAGGCAGAGTGGACAGTGAGAGAGAGAGAGAGAGAGAAAGGTCTTCCTTTGCCGTTGGTTCACCCTCCAATGGCCGGCGCACCACGCCTATCTGAAGGCAGGAGCCAGGAGCTAGGTGCTCCTCCTGGTCTCCCATGGGGTGCAGGGCCCAAGCACTTGGGCCATCCTCCACTGCCCTCCCGGGCCACAGCAGAGAGCTGGCCTGCAAGAGGGGCAACCGGGACAGAATCCAGCGCCCTGACCGGGACTAGAACCCGCTATGCCGGCGCCGCAGGCAGAGGATTAGCCTAGTGAGCCACGGGGCCAGCCTTGGGTGAAATTTTTAAAACTGGTAGAGGTAGAAAAGCTGTTCCCGTTTTCTGTTCTTGTCAGCGATAAAGTTTTGCCCTTCCAGGATCTCACCCACATGCTGTGAGTTGCTGAGTTTGCGGTAAAGTGGGGCTCACGTGTGATCCCTTAGTGTCACCAGACGCGTACTGTCCCTGCTTCTCATTCCTAGCGTTCAGTTGGCTCTACTGTTAGTACTAGTTAGTATTACTAGTGGTAAGTAATGCTGCTGTTAGCATTTTGTGTCTCCTTTTAATCTGTGAATTTCTGTCGGGATCAGTCGTGGTGGATGTGTAATTTTCAGTTACTGTGCGACAAAGGATTCCAAAATTCAGTGGCTCCCAACAACAGTCATTTATTCCTTCTCTCTTCCGTTGTGGGCGTCTCTCTGGCTGGTTCCCCTGTGTGACTGCGTTGAGCCTGGGAGTCCCTGGGGCCAGGGCGGAGTTGGCTCACTCGTGGGTCCAGCCCTTGTCATTGGCTGCTGACCAGGGCACCCACGTCCCCCGTCATGTGGCTTCTCATCCCGCTGTGGATTAGACGCAGTCTCTCTCATGGGGGTCTCAGGTCAGTGTCCAGGAGTGCCAGGCAGGAGTCCCGGGGCCAGCCAAGACCTTGGCCCCAGATACCCCAGCGTCACTTCTGCTGCTCGCTGTCGGCCAGGAAGAGTCCAGCCCGTATTAAGCGCAGCTGGGAAGCAGGGAGACGTGTTTCCCTCATTGCGGCCTTCTGTGGAGGGAGACCTCGCTTCCGGCAGCCATGTCCACGTTCCACGACCTGGCCGTGAGCTGTTGATCTCCCGCGTGTACCGCATTGCTCCCATCCCAGAGAAAAGTCACACTCCAACTTACAGCAGGCTCAGTGTCCAGGCGCCACGGCCAGCATCGGGTCCTCCTGGCCATGGCTCCTCCTTGTCCAGGCCATCTGGGAACTCACATGCTGGGGTACCTCACAGCCAGGCCCATCCAAGAGCGGGGAGCACGAGGCACCTGGACCTTACTGCTGCTTACCGACTCCAGGCCCCTGGATCGGGGGGTCTCCGAGCCCATCGCTCTCCGTTGCCTGGTTCTGCTCTCAGGGTCCTTCCTTGTCCATCAGCAGGGGCCCCTGTTTGCAGATGAGTGACTCTCTCTGTTTCCAGCCCACAGCAAGTTGCAGAAGCGTCTGCCAGTCTTGAGTGGGATCAGCCGCTTTCCGTCCAAGCTGGTGGTGCTCTTATTAATGTGTTTCTCTTAAAAATGCCAGGGGTCGGTCTCCTATGAAGCATACTGGGGTTTCCTCTCCGTCCCCAGAGTCACATCCATAACCCCTCCAAGGCCCCTCTCCGGTCCTCCGGAAGGCCTGTTTCTGTAGCTTCGTCACATGGGGGCTTCAGGGCTGTGGCCCGGGTTGAGGTGAGGTCCCAGGCTGGCACAGCTTCACCCTGCCACGTCTGTCCTTGGTCAAGCTGCATCACGGTGCGGTGCAGCCAGCCTCCAGACACAGGAGGGGTCCCCGTGGCGGCCAGGGCTAAGTCACGCCACGGGAGAGCGGTGCAGGAGTGCTGGTGGCCAGCTCGGACAGGCTGCACCCGACAGCTGAACTTTCTGGGTCTTTCTGGGCCTGGCAGAGCCACGTGCCCTCCTCTCTCGTCCCCGCTGCTTCCTCTGCTGCACCCTCAAGGGACGTCACTTGCAGGGGCACCTTCGCCTTGCACGAAGCAAACATCTCCAGGGGCCTGCGGGAGCCTGTCCGCCGTGACCGCGGCTCAGGCTGTTTGAGGAACGGCCGGCTGGGGGTCGTTGGTCCCTCTCAGGATGGGCCTTGGCCGGGGCTGAGGCAGGGCCTGGTTCTAGCCTGAGCTGCCAGGTGCTAAGGCAGCCTGCATTGTTCCTCTCAAATGCCAGCAAAGCAGGCGACAGGGCCTGGGTGGCCAGATGTGCCCCCTGCTGCCAGGCCGGATCTCGCTGGCAGGAGAGCAGGTTGAGCGAGGGCCTTGTGGGCCGCAGGGCGGGGGTGCAGCCGGGACGTTCCGGGCTCACCGGGCAGAGCCTTCCCTCTGAGACTGCGGGGGCAGAGGGCGGGATGTGTCTGGCAGGGCCAGGCCATCAGCAGGACATGGGTTGGCGGGAGAGGCACAGGCGCAGTGCGTGGTGCTGGGGTGGGCCACGCACCAACCTGTGCGTTCCAGCCAACAGAAGCCTTGTCACAGGTAGTGGTTTTGGGCTTCCTCCATCCGCCCAGGCAGCTTGGGGTGGGTGCCCTGGAGCCTGTGCCTGTCGGCGGCTCCGAGGGCAGCTTGGCCACAGGGACTCAAAGTCTCCACCTGGGTGGGCTCCCAGACCGGGGCGGGAGGGGAAGCAGCTGTGACGTAGAGTGTGTGGGGCACAGGGTGCATTGGGGGCAGGGCACCGCAGCCCACACTGTGCCACGCCAGGAAGCCGGGGGCGCCCCGTCCATGGGCAGACCCCAGCCTCTCACCGGCACCCCAGTGGCACGGCGGAGTGCAGGGCACTGAGCGTCTCCTTAGGCGTTCAGGGCTGGGGGGGGGGGGCAGTGAACACCTGCTCCCCTCCCCTCCCCCATTTGTTCCGGAGCCTTCCGCGCCAGGACAGATGCTGCGCTGGGCCTGTCTTCAATTTGGTCACAGGCACTTTCCAATAAGTGCACGAAGCGCTCGGGGCGGAGGAGAAGCACTAGAGAAATCAATACTTGCTCGTCAGCCTGGCCGCGGCCGGGCCCACCTGGACGCTCTCCCAGGCTGCTCTGTTGGTTTAGTGTTTCCCCGCGGACGGCCGACCGGCTCTGTCTCAATAATGATCAATATCACTTTATCAATGTAGCACGGTTAACAGTGTCTCCGCCGCCTGTGGTCCCGGCTCGGAAAGTGCTTTCAGACGAGCGATTTATGGTCCAAGGTCGCGTATTCCCCTCCTTCCCTCCCTCTCTGGCGGGGTCCCCAGGCAGGAGACCCCAGGACCCTCTTCAGAAGGGCCTGGGGGAAATTCTGGCCTGAGCCGCTCCCTGGGATTGGCCGGATTTGCTGGTGCTGGGCCTCCTGGCGGCGGCTCTCGGGCTCACTTTGGGGAAGGGTGAGGCTCCCGGGAGCCAAGAGAAGCCACAGTGACTCCTGTGCACTGGAAGCCACGGGCCTCTGTACGCGTGGGCCACAGCCACAGCTCCTGTCTCGATGTCGTCCGTCTCACGGGAGGGGACCGCCCAAGGGGTGGGCACAGCAGGCAGTGGCCTCTCCCTCAGGGACGAGGGACAGAGGCCGCCTGAGAAGCCCTTGGGCTTACACCCCTGCGGGGCAGAGCCAGGCACTCACTCCTCCTGGCTCCGGGCCTCCTGGGTGGGCCCAGCCCCGCCCTCTGGAATTGTGGGTCTGGGGAGCAGCTCGGAGCTGCCTCCCCTCCGCTCCCTGTCACTGTTGGAGGACATCAGACTGGATGGTCTAGTCGCGCTTTTTTTTTTAATTTACATATTTATTTAAAAGAGTTACAGAGAAAGATCTTGGTTCACTCCTCAGGAGCCAGAACGGCCAGGGCCAGGAGCCGGAGCTGCTTCCAGGTCTCCCACGTGGGTGCAGGGATCGAGCACTTGGGCCGTCCTCTGCGGCTTTCGCAGGCAGATTAGCAAGGAGCTGGATCAGGGGTGGGGCAGCTGGGACTCGAGCCGGCACCCGCAGGGGGTGCCAGCATCGCAGGCAGCCGCTGTACCCACGGCACAGCCCCGGCCCCTCGCGGGCCGACCTGCAGTCTCCAGGAGGGGTGAGCGTGAAACCTGCAGAGTGACCTTGGTAACCGAGGTCAGGGAGGGCCTGGGAGCAGGGCCCCGAGTTCCTCGTGGGTGCGGCGCGGGGCAGCACAAGGCCGCACCCACCGCCTCGCCACCCTGCCTCGGCCCCGTCCGACCTGGACGCCCGCACCTGTGGCTCTGGACCCGGAGGTGCAGCAGGCGGATCTGACTGCCCCCACTTGTTGGGGGGGGCGGGTACTGAGTCCTTGGAGGTTGCGAGACTCCCCCAGAATCGTGGGCTGCTTCTGGCCTCCCCGCTGCCCCGTGCACCTGACACCCCGTGTCTGCACTGAGCTCCTGCTCGCGTGGGCAGAGGGGTGCTGAGCTCAGGCTGACCGCACTCTGCAGCAGGCGTCTCTGTCTCTCTGGGGTGACCGCCCTGCTCTCCTGCCCTCCTCAGTCCGTCAGCTCAGCTCTTCCAATGGCCTTGATGGACTCTGCCACCCACTCTGCCCTGGGCTCACCAGCGGCAGTCCTGTCCCCTGGAACCTGGGCCCACGGACAGCCCACACCCCCTGTGTGAAACCCACCGCTGGTTCCCAGCCACGCCCCAGGCTGAGTGTGTTCCTGCGTGTCCACGGCCTCCTCCCCACCCTGTCGTCCTGTCCCCCGGGCACTCGGGTGCCCTGCACCTCTGAGTGGCCCTGGAGGCCTCTCAGAAGGGACAGGCAGGTCCCGAGCAGGGTGGCAGCAGCCTGAGAGGGCCCAGGCCTGACGGAGACAAAGGGACCCTCCCCTGGCCGCGACACGGGCTTCCGCGGCCCAAGTCCTGCCCCGT